AATATTTTTCATAGAAGAACTACCATTTCGATATAAATATTTAGTTCGATTAGTAGAATATGGATCGATTTCTGAGAAGAACGGCAATATCTGACTAATGATTAAGTCACATTTTCGAGTAATTAACTATTTTGTAATAAATTAATGGTGCCTGACTGTCTAATAGGGTCGATGCACTTTTATTCGATGTGACTTTCTCATCTTGGGAGGCACGAAATGTTGGATTATTTATTAAATTTTGTTTTATTCATTAATGCATCTGTTTTTCTTTGCTCTCATTAATCATTTTCTTATATGTTATATATGATCTTCTTTAACATTTATTTTTTATTATGGTTTCTGTTTTGAGAATTAACATTTAAGAATTTTATCTCGAGACAATTGAAAATGTATCTAACTATCTTATTAGAAAAAAATATCCGTAGTCACCAAATTCTGATTAAAAAGTATATATTCGAATAAATTAGAGAAATACATATCTTACCAGTAAAAAGATCTTTCGCTATTTCTGTTGCAATATCATATAAACCAATTCCATATAAATTAGAATAATTTGTTAAGAGTAGAATACGTTTCATAGATGATGATTCAAGATTGAGAAATTCGATTTTATCGTGAATTTTAGGTAAGATTTCAAGACAAAATCGATCAAGTATTGTCCTAGTAAATTCATATAATAAACCATTAGAGAAAAATGTCCTTAATGTTAAATATTTTGTAAAATTCGAATCGTTTACAATTGTAGTTAGTCGTTTATTAACATTTATTAAAGAATAGAGTACTTCAGCATTCTGCAAAATTTTCAGAAGAATTAGAAGAATTTCGTCAGGTAAATCATTCAATGAATAAATGAACGTTCCATCTTTTATTTTCACCTATATCTATTTTGTTTAGCTTATAAATATAGACATACTCATATCTTCTGTTTGATCGATGTCGTCAATAGAAACAATCATACATTGTTCAATAATTCAAATTGACGATGAATGATTGAATAACTGATGAGACGATATGTTGCTCTCTCTCTCTTTTTATTCAAGATGCGGTTTACTATGTGGATGAACAGTCAGAGGGTGTGGGGTGTGTGCCTGGGCATGATCTAAGAGGAAATCGACACCCACACCCTAACTCTTTGAACTTTATTACTGCTATTTTATCTCGATGCGTTCCCAAAAAATTAGTTTTCACCATCTTGATCAAGCTATGACAAATTTTTTAGATCCCTAACCTGAATATTTCAACAGTATCGCGCGGATCCAATCTGATAGAGTTTTAATATTGATATAATATTTAAAGGATTAGATTAGAAATAACTTTTTCAGTACAAACATGAAATAGTAATCATTTTTTGGAATTTATTCGTGCTAATATTGGTGAGTAATATTATTTTCAACGGTGGAATTCACCAGCCGCTCGTTTATCATAAAATTTAAGCAGAGTTTTGAATTTCTGATTAAACTAAAAGTAAGAAAGATTTATTCAGAATTCAAATATCGAAGTCTCATGAGTAGAAATATTTTCAATGATCAAATTTAACTTCATGTAGTATTTCATTCAATCATGTTGCTGTCATGAATTGTAACTCTTAATTAAAGAATAAAATTTTTGTCTGAAAAATTCAAATTGACGATTTTTTTCTCCATGAAAATCAACATCGTGTCATAAATCATGAAGTTCTAAGAATGAAATGAATTTGAACTCTAAACTACATAATAATACAAACTGATCGACGACTGAAACATGCCGAGATAATAAAATGGCATATGTTATGTCATGATATTCGGGTACGGGAATAAAAACAAGACATCGAACTTGCAATAGCTTCTGTCTGATGAGGAACAATCATATCAAAGCACAATTTTTAAACTGTGAAAATTTAAAAATGACCGCTTTTCATCGATTATAGTCTCATTATCTTGTAAAAAGTAATCATTTTGGTTAGTGAAATTAAACTTCACATTTGATATCATGAAATTCTTGCAGAAATAAACTTTATCTCTAAGTTAAAAATGTCGTGGGTGCCGTTGAAGGATATCAATTGACCCACACATACAGCAAAATTTCAAGCTCGAGTTTATAAAATAAAGCTCTTGAAACTGTACTGAATTTGAACGCATTGTTAGAAATTAAGATTATTCATTCGAATATGTAAAACAAGATATTTTCTCAATTCAGCTATCAATATTGCACAATTTAGTTTTGAAGTAAACTGCTTCTTTCTCGATCAACTCACACACCAATCTGTTGAAAATTGTAACAGACGGAGATAGCTGATCTATTCGAGATACACGTACAAAAGTATTTTAACTTACGAATTACGATTTCACTGCTTATTTTATCAATAAAGTATTTCTTTCGAAACCAACTACACTCAAAGAACTCATACCTAATTAGTCCTGAAGCAGGGCGGCGGAGCGTCATTAAGTTGGGTGAGGCTCATCATATTTTTTTGCTACCGTGGAATTTTATGAAACATCAAGTAGTAGATAAGTCTTCTTTTTATTGAACTTCAGTAAAAATAAAAAAGGTCAGCATAAGAAAGAAGATTGGAAAATACCGAAAACTACTTTTCTTTGCTCCTACTCTGATGCAAGAACAAAAAAAAAGCAATATTCAGTACAAAAACAAGTGAGGCTGAGTCTCANATTCAAAATATTGAATTTCCATATCAATGGATGATAGGTAACTTACCTATTTCTATTTCCTTCTAAAGTAACATCACATGGCCACACAATATAATTTTCAAGTAAATACTCGATGATTGTTGTCGAACAAAATATACGGTTGCAAAATATGTTATCAAGCATACTTCCATCATGGTGTACATAGACAAGTACTGGACGACGCTAAAATTCAAACGAAGCATGCTTTCTTTTTAGAATCATCAGAGTATATGTGAACTAACTTCTTCAATCACCGTTGGACTGAAAGCTGCTTGACATGCCTTTGTAAATGAGCCCATATAGAAAACTGGACAAGCATCATAGCGTCGATGGAAACATTTAGAAATAGATTCGATAGCAGCAACGTCGTTTGGATACTCCATGGGAACTAGTGGACAATTTATCATGATATAAATTCATTTTTACTGTTATTAAAAGAAAGATAACTCACAAGGGGTAGATGGAATGATATAACCGTCATCATTAAAAACATCATTGTCTTCTATGATTGGATTGCTTTCCTAGGTAGAAAATGAATTGCATTCGTATTGAATATTTGAATGTAGAATTTTTGAAAGCTTTGTAGTTTCAAAATTTACCATCAATAAGGATGTTACTTTATTTTTCTTATAATAAAGAGTAAATATAAATAAAAAAAAAGTTCTTTGAGAACCTAATGTTTAATTATTACCAAGTAGCTCACAAAACAGAACGGGATACTACAGGCAGATATTTAGTAAGCAGAAAAGTTTTTACGTGAATTGTCCCAGTGGTCAACTTCATCTTTCAATAAAATCATATGTCGAAGTGATGCTACTGATATGAAGCCATATTGATTAAAACATCCCTTTCTCATACGAGATATTTGTAGCAGTCATTGAAGCATACTCTTTATTGTCGCAACTAATGATTATTTCGTAAAATAAAGATAAAGTAACATTCCTAAGCATAAATATACAACGATCCTGTTGTCAACTTTAAAAGTATGCTTACCATTGTAACCGCTGATGTTTGAGTTAGGAATAGAAAGAATAATTAGAACTTTCGACCTCAGCTATATAGTTCTACAAAAAAAAAGAAATGAAAATGAGATCGTTGACTGACAATTAAAAAGGGTTTAAATATAATTCTTTTAAGAAAAAACCCAGTTGTATTTTTTCCACTACACGAAATGCAGCATATTTTGAGGTGATATGATTTTTCTGTGGAAGGAAGAAAAAGAAATAGCAGCACGTAAGATCGGAAGTGCCCATGCCAACATGAAACTCGATATCATTAATCCGATAAGTGCTCGAAAATGTGTTTTTGTTCGTTCTTCAGCAATTCTGGGCGCTTTGGCACTTATCGGGTTTCGACTCGGAACTTTCGAGTACTAAAAAGCTGTCCTATCAAATATTTACTTTTAACTTCTGGCGCATTTTTACATCCTTCGGTACTCATCGCCGTTTTCAGCAATCGAACAAAATGAAACAAGAGAAGTACCGTATTAAATCTTACACTAGAAATAAGTTGAGAACTATAAAATTTTCAAGTTAGAATCTTACTCAAAAAGAGTTTTCAAATGTTTCTTTCATTTAATTAACTTATAAGACTGATCTGTGTTGGACAAATGTTTTCCGGAAACTCATTATTTTCTAACATGCGTGCCATATGAAATGATCAAAAGCAACAAATAAGAACGTAGGCAATGTTAACAACAGGTTCGCATATTTTCTCTCCGGATTCGCTTCCTAACCTATGTTGGATGCCTAATTTTATTCTCTATCGAATGATATGATTTTTAACGAGGATCATCAGGGGAAAAAATTTACCTGAGGGCGCTTTTTGGTGTAGGCGTTGTTAGGATGAGCGAAGAGCTGCATTCCGAGTATCACATCGTCGTTTTTAAGTACATCTCTTACACCTCTGAAGGGTATTTTTGGTATAAAGCATCATTCGGAACATAGATGTGGACACACACCCACACCCTCAAGTAATGAAATCATTTGATTATCATATTGCTCTTCGTAAGTATTCAAAATCAATGAGAAGCATTTCAATTTAGAAAGGTTTTCCTATAGAATAATATCAGCAATGTCTTTTGATTGAAAATATAATTATTAAAAACATATTTACCCAATCATTTATATATGATGGTTTATGTTCACATTGATTATCAATTTTGATAAGGAATCAAGACGTCTATCAAGAAGATAAAGACAATCAAAAAAACTTGAAGACATATACGACTTATTTGTGGTAGTTGATAAATAGAAAGCCACGTCTTACGATGCGAAACAATTGACGAAAATTCAGATAGAATAATTGTTTAGTTAAAGATAATTGAGATGTTGTCTCGTTTAAAATATCAATATTCAGATGTGTACTTTGGTGAGTAAGGCGATCGCAAAGAATTGAATGATTTTTAATGTAGAAAAAAACAAAAAAATATAAAATTCTTTCAATCAGATACCTGTTAAATATTGAAAAGTATTTTTTCTTGAAAATTAACGAGTAAAGTTGAGGATAACTGACATTAAGAAGAAGCTTCATTAAGTTTTGTTCAATAGTAAGTTTATTTAGATGATCATGAATTTGAGGTAAGATCTTCAAACATATTCTTGAAAGAACCAGTGAAAAGATATAATGAAAAGCCGATTTCATGGTTATAGTGGTTATATCAAAACTATTAATATTAAGTGCGGGGAGGGTGAGTCTGAAAAAATACAAGACTCAATCCTAGAACTACAGTCACACCCTTATCTTTGGTAGAGAAAATCTTCTAGATGATAATGAGAATTTCACACGATTGGAAGCGAAAGCGTGTGGGTGTGCATCAGTTTTACGTTGTTGTTCCATAAGAATAGGTTGCTTGCGCACATACAATGTCGAACGCTATCTACTAGTAGATAAATAGGAGAATTGGAGAAAATTCTTACTCAAACGAAACAGTAACATATGAAATCCAGTTTTATACGAAAGCTACAGTTAAACATCTCAAAAATATTAACAATGATTGGCTCACTTCTTTTAATCGGCTTATATTTTACGATTTTTGTTACAAAGGTGGCATCTTAAAGACGTCTTAGTGTTCTGAATCGAACCAAATCACGACATATTTTCAATCAATAATGGTTCAATCATCATGCTATTATTCTCCAGGCTCATAAAAAAGAAATAAATAAATTGAATTTAAAAAGCATCTGCTTTAATTTTACTTCGGAAAACCAAAGTAGAAATGCTATTCTCGATCCTGAAGAGGAATGTTTATTTGTTTGAGATTAGGTTTAATTTTTATATGTGCGTTGTTGATAAGTTAAAAATCTAACTGGTACAGCGCAGCACTTCTTTTTATGTATACTCTCGCTTTAAAAAATAACTTTGAGCTTCTTCTTGATTACAGTCGTTCTGCCGTCGATGAAGCTATGGTCGGTCTGTAAATCGGAAATTAAGAAAAAAAACTAACTGTAATCAAAAGTTCTTTTCTCGCTCTGAAACTTGCACATCAGGTAAACAACAATGTGTATAAACTGCAAATATTATCTCTACTGTGACATATGCTGCTAAGTTGGTTAAGACTTTCCTTTCATATAAAAGCAACTGATTGAAATAGAATCAGTCACGTTTTTGTTTCGATCAAAATGAAATTATTCAATCGTGCGAATTAATCAAACTGTTAAACGTATGTTTTCGAAAGAGCAATCAGATATGCGTAACTTGTAGATTAAATCGAACCTACTCTTCCTATGTCTCCTTTAGATTATAGACTATTATTGAAGCATTCCTAGGCAACCCATGTACTGAGACGAGTTTCAGATTGGATATCTATAAAAGTACATCATTGCCACCAGTATCTCCCAGAATCCTGTGTGACTATATCTCTGGAAATTGTCGTAATACATGAGTACTTGTACAGTTGTATTCAAAAAATGCAACAAGAGTTCAATGAATTAGTAACTATCTGAAAATATCTTAATAATGAAGTATGCGACTAAGTGCCTGTAATATAATTATACACTAATATAGATTTTACTATAGATTGTATGAATATGACAATTCAAGGAAAATAATAGAATAATAGAAATTTGAATGGCTTAATAATTTCTTTAATATTTGCAGGTTGTCTCAAAAGTCCCTCCCTAAAAGTGCTTTCATTTATCTTTACGATTCGCACACTCTACATTGATTAATGAATACAATTACCGTAGCTAAATTCAAAAGCATTCATGTGCCGCTGCGAAGTCGCAATGCGTTCACTCAAATTTATTATATGACGTGTAATATCAAGAAAATGAATCGGTGGGTCATTTTTTTATGATCGAACGATCGACCACTAGGGTACAACGATCAATTAATAAAATAAGGTTGGCGTGGTTCGAAGTCTCTTCTATTCGATTTTTAGAGATGAAAAGAATCACTAAAAAAGTGATTTTCCAACAACATACGGTATCATCACGTTTCTTTGAGACACTTAGGTTCTCACTGATCAATAAATTTCATAGTTAGTGGTTTAGAGGATATGAACTGCGCTCATGCTCCTTGCGATCTCTAGACTGAATGTCATCGAATTTTTATATGGGAAACGAATGTCAACAAAACAACTATGAAAATTCTGAACAATTTAAAGATCAGATTGGCCCAAGAAGACGAACTAATTGGAATAGAATCATTGCATAGTACTTTTCTACATATAGAAAAAAAGTAAGTGTTTTTTATTTTCGTTAGGTTTCAAGAGTGATTTTGAGAGTTGTTTGTATAAAAACTCGATGTATGAGCGTATCATTAAAACAAAATTAATTAATGCAATTGAATCAAATAGTAAAGATACACGAAAACACTTTCACAAAGGGACTTTTTGGATACTCTATTGATTTACGTGAAAAAAATCTTTCATAGAAACGGTCAATCTCTAGCGACATCTTTTCTAATATGATTTCGTCATTATTATTATTTAACAAATCATTCTTCCCGCATTTTCTCTTTCTATCTGCGTACGCATAGATCGGTGTTTCCAGCAACTGTGTACACAGCGCAAGCAGAATGAACAGAACATCTGCTACTTTTGATTCATACTATGTTGTACACTTTGCTAAAACATTTATTTTAGATTTCAATTGGAAAAACTGCTTTATATTACGTAATACTATGCATTAATCATTGGAACAATGAACTCAAATATGTCTACTTCATTGCTGTTGTTCTCTTGTATTCAATAAAAAAGAAGAGATTAATGTGAATAAATAAGAATGATGTCGTCTGTTCAGCACTAAATCTTTGTAAAATTTAAGTTTATGTCACCACCTTGACGTTTGTAGATTGATTGAAAACTGGTTAAACGTTTTTTTTTGAAACTATTGATCAGAGTTATATTTGAGTTTATTCGACAATCAATAATTTTGAAGTACTTATAAGAAACTCGAGCGTCTTCTATCTTTTCTTAGATTGAAATGTCATTTTGGAAAAAAAAATGTTCAAACATATTTCAGCACAAATGAAGATAAAACGAACAATTATTCATTTTATATTTCAGAGTCAGAATTATCGATTGAAATGATTATTTGATGACATCCGTTGACATTGAATTATAATTTGACAGGCAAAAAAACTTCTAATATTGATAGATTCATTTCAGATAAGATTGTTCAACATTTTTCTCCACCACATGTCAATTTCATTTACTCTATCTTTAATCTTGTAGATTTGTTTTTCATATTCACAACTTAAAAAAATAGATTGATCAATGCCTGTTGCATTCGACTTAGAATTAAAGGTCGTTGATAATTTAAGAGCTTATTACAAAATTAATGAAGCTGCTGCTAAAGATATTTTTGATGAAACAATGGTCTTATATCACCGCCTGTATACAATTACAGACTTAAACGAATTAAATAAAGTTAATAATCGAATATTATTTACGTTAATAATCGTGATTGGCCATTATTATGATTCCACAGAGTCTACCCGGTAAATATTTAAAACATCAAAAGTAAATTTTGTAGTTTTTTAGGTTCTTATTTTCAGTAATTATGTTTATTGTTATAACAGGTCGTAAAGCGGATTCGGAATACATGTTTATGCAATGGCTTAGTGCTTCTGCTCAAGGCGAAAAAATTGACAATGGCCTCGACGTATTTATTTACACATTAAAAGCATTACGTGAACATTTCGTGCGTAATAGAGGTTTCAAAAACATACTCGAAATAAGTCATGTTTTTATCTGATTTTAGGAGAGAGAACATATTCGAACTTTTGAAACTTTTCATGATTTATTTAAAGCATTAAACAATAATATTATTTTACTAGAAGAAGAAATTGTTAAAGAAGGTACAAATGAACAACGAAACACCATCAATCAAGTAAGATAACACTTACAGCTCTCATCATTTCACATGTTAAATCTTAGATCAAAAGTGATTTTAATTCATATTTGTAAGTGTTATAATTTATTTGTAGAATTATTAAAATAAAAAAAAATTTTTTTTCAGATGTGAACATGCAATAACAATTTCTGTATGTTCTATTTAGTTTGTTTGATTAATCTTAATTTGCTTTTACGATAGGATGAAAGTAATGATGATGATGAAAATGAATGATGATGGCGGTGGGAATGGCATTTAGCTCAGCTAAAAACCGAAAGACTTATTTTTCTGTTATTTCTCTTTCTTTATGTCAGATCTTTTGCCAGATTATTTTATGTTTTTCTTTTCAGATTAAAATGAATATAAATGATCTTTCACATCATGTTTTATACAATATATCTACACATTTATCTTTCGTTGATGTTATAAACTTATCAAAAACATGCAAACAATTGTATATTTTAATCGAAAATAATGATTACTTTTGGATGACATTAATTCAAAATCATTTTGGATCGAAACTATATCAACTTTATGTTAATCAAATATTTCAAAACAAGAAAAATTCTGATTATGTTTTATATCGTACAAAAGAAGATATAGAAAAATTTGAAAAATACTTTCGAGGACATTTAGAGTGGGAAATGTGTAATTTTTGGCTGTTGAACGTATTAAATGGTAAAGATAATAGTGACGGTTATATAGCTCATAAAAGTATAGTTAGACAAAAACGACGTCCACGTACAACTGAATTCAAAATGTCTTTAACAACTGAAGAATTCTTTGAATCTTATATGAATAGAAATAAATATTTAAATAATGAAAACATTCGAGAAATATCAATGTATAAATTAATTTATTATTATTTTATTGAAGCTAAACGTTTATTAGGTGCTGATTTGTTTGCAATAGATCTTCGTTGCACACCACATCATAGATGTTGTCCCATGAGAAAATATCTAAATCATGAATACGATTTAAATAGTTTAACAGGTCGATGTGTGCGTTTATATTCAATTCGATCGAGGGATTTAGCTGGTATAAAAGGTAAATTTAAATCTATATTACCTGGAACCTATGAAATTATATGTCGTATTAAACTGGATAAGAACAATGAATATTTAGCATACTATAATGAATGTTATAGTAAAGATCCTAAAGTAGAAAAAAGTGTGAAATGCTATTTTTATGCATTAGCTGATCGTGGTCTTGATTGCGAATGTGATTGGAAAAAAATGAATTTTGATTGGTTTGAATCGAACTATTTACTGCATGGAAATACTAATTGGTTTAATGAAACGATGGGTAAAATCAAAGTATTCGAGTTATCGAATATTTATTTTGGATTTCGAATTAAATCAGATTATGGATACCGTAATATTTTATTTGACTATATACAATTGAATATTATTAAATAATGTATTTTGTGTTTTGTTTTTACGATGTAAAATTGAATTGTTTAATAAATATTGTGAGTTTTAATTGTCTTGATTCTATTTAATATGCTACGGATTTTCAAAATTTAATAAGTTTCCTTTTTAACATACAAGCATAGAATTTGCTCATTAAGAATGGGAGAGCTTGTTGCAATCGATACAGTATGAAGTGGATTTTTAGTAACTACTTGTGCTTAAGAAAAAACGTCTGATGTAATCGTATGGTGATTACAACATGGAACAAGATGATATTGTTTGTGTTGTAAATAAGAACCTTGAGCAAGTGGTCTCTTTGAAAAGAACACACTAATAAAACATTTGTATGAAATTCTCTATTTTTCAGCTTCTTTTCTACTCATAACGCTAATAAAAGAAATCGTTTAAAACACATTTTATTACTCTGTCATAGTTTCTATTGAAACGCAAAGATTTTAATACTTTTTCATTAGTCTCAAAAGTATCAATCGATAAAAAAAGTATATCGATGCAGACAATTATGGATTAGAATTCAATAAAAGGTCATACTATATGAAAAAGTCGATCACTGTCACCGAATATTCATTATACTTAGATTTTAACAATAAAAACCAATCTAGTCTTTATACGAGAGATCTGGATAGAATTAAGTGTTAAATATTCAGAAGGCATTTTAGCTGAACAATGTCATTCGAATATCGTGACCAGGATAAAAATTAAGTTTAGAAAAAATTTCTATATGAAACTGAAAATTAGTGTCAATTCTTCAAGTTTCATGAGCACTCTAATAACCATTAATATAGCTAGAAAGTGTGGCACTAACTAGTATGGGGAGCAAGATCGCTCGGGGTAAATATTAGTTGGATAATTGATAACAGGAACAAATGGGCGGACAGGAATTTGTGAATTATGACCGCTATTATTCCTTGCAGAAACCATAAATGATAAGCCCTGACCATCTAAAACTCACGATACGATACATTTTTCATAATATACTATTAGAAAAATGCCTACTTGGATTGGAGCCAGCCGAAGCGCCAAAGTTTCCTGCGAGGCCTTCTATTTCGTATGTCTTTGTAGTTCAGCTGATGATTGATTAAAACTAAAATTAAGTAGTAACTATAAATATGCTTTTTATACGGCTATTTATATGAATAATTAGATAAATGATACTCCATATTGCATTAAGACGAGAATAATGTGATAAAGAAACTAGATCATTATTTGTTTACTTCAACTCTATGTGAGTGCACCAAAACTGCGTAGAACAGATGATTTTGATCTGTAAAATAAACATCGGGTGTATCTTCTCAACTTTTTACTATCATTCCGTTGGATGGAAAAACGATTCTATAATTCATATAATACAACATGCTTGACGTAGACATATGTTTTAGGAAGGCTAATGAGTATATTAAACTTGCCAAAAGTGGAATCGTTGATAGATCAATGTTAATAAGGCAAAAAAATGGAAAAAGATTTGTTTTGAATTCATCGATAACAGTTGAGTAAACAAGTACGAGTGAATAAAAATCAAATGTCAGGCTGAGTTTCATACCATAATTATCGCTTCTTCTTATCCTTGTTTCATTTTGTTTCTTATCGGAACAAAGTCTATGTTGTAGACTAAGCCTGTGATTCACTCTTATGAAAATAGTTGTAGTATTTAAAACTTTTTGAAAACTTGATTTGCAAAATGATAACAAAATTGATTGAATTTATTCGTATATGCATCATATCTTACTGAAAAGAAGAATATTTATAGTTATTTTGATATTATTTCATTATTAATTACTAGAAGACACATGTAGAAATCTACACAGTACTTTGCGTCATGATATTGTATACATTTATCAATTTAATTTTTCTTTATTTGCTCATCATAGCTTAATATATAAAAGTAGATGATGATAGGATCAACAAAGAATGCTTCAATAATTTCCAATAGGCCGCTAAATATTAAAATAGTCTGAACTAGATAGAAGAAACTAAATGATTTTGGAATGCAGCTTGTTTGAGTTATTTTGACGGTGATTGGAATACAATATTTACGTCGCCCAAGTCACTCCATCCTGCCTCCGGATTCATTCGGGATCCGTCGGAACCGGCACCGGATAACACCAGAAGACGGCATGATTCCCACTCAAATCTGCCAGGATCCGGCAGGGATTTCGCCGGAATCTTTGCTCCCGGAAACCCCGTCGGAATTCAAAGGAAAATGATCCGGTCGTTTCCTGCCGGATAATACAACCGAACATTGTCGCAACCGATCCA